CTCATGTACTTGAACAGTACGTTTTTGTTTTTTCGAGCGAGGTCCAGAATGGTGGCTTGTTTTCGTATGTTCCATTGGCGGATTTCTGACTTACAACGATTCCGCATTTTACGAAATGCCAGCTCATCTTCTGTGTCCCCTGTGGTCAACTTTTTGAAAAAGAGTTGGGATCTTTTTTCCAGAAGTTGCCGAATCCTTTTTGGCAGCTTGCGGTTCATCCGACTGCGTGCCGGTCTTCTTGGGACGAATGTCCCGTCAGCCTCGTGGACTTTCTGGACAATGGTCCTATATAGTTCATCCACCGGAGCTGGTCTCAGTGTGACTTGTTCAAGGAAGATGCGCATTCCTTCGAAGTCTGTACGGCAGAAATCTCTAAACCACGTTTGAGGTTTGGGATTTCTGGCAAGCATACTGCCCCGCACTGAGAACATAAAGAGGAGTGCTACACCCTTTTATTTACTTTTGCCACAGCCACTGGCCGAAAACGACATAAGCGACCCGGGAAATCTGGGCAAAACCTCGAGCCTGGGTATCAATCCGTCAATCCTCGAATTTGATTGGCCAAGGCTATGACCAATCACATGATCTCATTGACATGGCGCTTGCTCAGGGAGAGGGCCTTCACTGCGAGCTCATTTATCAGAAAATGCCAACTGAACAGTTACAGACTATTGGACAGCGAGGCGAAACTCTCATATGCATCATTGCAGCGTCCGCTGCAACAGTAAACATCTCTCCAACCCTGGGCAGTTTGAGGGTCAGTTGCTGATCCAACACCCGCGCTTTGGCACGCTTGAAAGCACGCCTCCCGGATCTACCTCAATACAGCCAATAGTGCGTACAACTCCCCAGTTGTGCCTGTAAGAAAGGCGAACGGAGGCTGGCCTGCGGGTAAATGAAGCCAACACACAGCTCGCTCGGAGTTCGGTTCACTGTTGGGGCATAAAGTGGGTCACGCAGAAGTTAGCCCACTGTCAGAAAAAATTGGAGAAGATCGAGGATTGTGCTGTCCCCAATTCAGAGCGAACTCTATGACAGTTTCTTGGACGAGCAGCATACTACAGCGCGGGTGTTGGATCAGCAACTGACCCTCAAACTGCCCAGGGTTGGAGAGATGTTTACTGTTGCAGCGGACGCTAGGGATCGCGGTATCGGCGCAGTCCTAAAGCAGAGGAATGGAGTTATCGAATATGCCAGTCGTGTCCTGACTAACGCTGAACGGAAGTACTTGACCATTGAGAAAGAATGTTTAGCGATCGTCTGAGCCCTGGATAAGAGGAGGCCATATCTGCTTGGACAAAGGTCTCGTGTAGAAATCGATCACAAACCCCTGTATGTCATGGTTTCACAAACCCCTGGAGTGGATTAGGACCACCAGAAATCCTCGCGCGCCTGGGCACTCCGGTTACAAGAATACGGCCTCACGATCCAGCACGTGCCAGGGAAGAAGAACCACTTGGTTGACTGGCTGTCAAGACCAGAGCCTGAAGATGAGATCCACAGGATCATGATTGGGGCCAATAGCCTCGTCGTCGAACTGAGTCCCGAAAGGTTGGTGCAACTCCAACGCCAGGATCCTGTGTTACGGAAGGTTGCAGCCACCTTGTCGGATGGAAGGAGCATTGAGAACGGAGAGTAAGACAAGGAGTTGGAAACGTTCCAGAGTCACTTTGATCGGCTGAGTCTGAATGAAGCTGGCATAATTTCCTGGAACACCGCCCATTCGGATGTTGTGACACCGTGTGACACCTGTGACACCTCGCGTCTTGAGACGGAAGCTTATCGTCGAATGCCATGAGATGGCATGTACAACTTACTTCGTCAGAGGGCTTACTGGCACGAAAAGAGAAGTGAGGTGATGGATTATGTAGCGTCCTGTAAGCGGTGCCAACTGATGAAAGGGGACACGACAGGGGCAAACCATCCTATGGAACCTATTCCTGTCTCAGAAATCGGCGAGTTGTGGTCCGTTGACGTCATTGGTCCCCTTCCCGGTGACAACCAGCGGGAATCAATACGTTGTCATAATGACAGAACACCTGTCGCGGGGGATCGAGGCGGCAGCCGTGCCTACTTAGCGGGCGGCGATGACCAGTGGAGTGGTAATGCATCACATCGTGGCCAACCATGGGGTGTCAAAAATGATTCTAACCGATCAGGGACCTTGCTTCGAGAGCGAAGAGTTTAGGAACTGCTTGCAGAAGCTGTGTATCAGATGGCTAAGGACGGCACCATACCACCCGCAAACAAATGGCCTAACCGAACGTAATAACCGAACGAACGGCCAAAGGAGATGACCGGGAAGTGAACTTGCCAATGTTGTTGCTAGCTCATCGTGCTTCCATAGAGCCAACCACAGACAAGTCCCCGTTTATGCTTATGTACGATCGACATCCGCGCTTTCCGATTGATCAGGGTTGTGGCCGGCAACACGGTTGTCTCCGGGGGAGCTGGGGGAAGGAAGAAGGAGAGCTCGAGAAAACTTGACCGCTGTTCAGGAAAGGACTGGGCAGAAAACGGCAAGTAGGAAGGCATGAACATTTACCACAGGCGCGAAGGTCAAGTGGAAGGATCATCGGAATCCTGGAAGGGGTGGACGGGGGTCGCGGAAGCTAGGCAATCGATGGCAATGGCCATTTGTCGTTGCCGACCGCCGGGGGAACGTCTATACCATTCAAGATGGTCGGGGATCGAAACGAGTTAATGGGACGCAGCTTCATAAGTGGCATGATACACCCGAGGAGCGGCCGAGTAGACCCGCTGCCGAAACCGACCTGACGGAAGTAAATGAAAATCGGTGGCATGCGAACGACCTTTAGAGGGGATAGGTGTGTAACGGTGATACCGCAGATGGGGGAGGCATGCGAGTAGCATGCTTTCTCGTAAATGCGCTTTGCGTCTCTTGAAAAGTGAAATCTGTTACGGAATTTGTGGAGTTGCTTTGTAGCATTTGTTTGGATTTGAGCAACAGTCGATGAATATCCCCGAAAGTTCAGGAAGACGCGTTCAGTGTGTCATGACTATATAAACCATACCTTTACATAGACCATTAACTCGCAGTTCTCACTCTGTATTTTCAGATCTTGTACTACCGTTATTAGACGATTAAAGCGTATATTACGTCCTTCTATTCTATCTTCTTTCTAATCTCGCCCTGGAACCACCCGACTCTCGCAACACAAAGAGAAGATGGATATTCAGTTTTTGTGAGCAAGATGCATATGAGAGTTTCGCCTCGCTGTCCAATAGTCTGTAACTGTTCAGTTGGCATTTTCTGATAAACTATCTCGCAGCGAAAGCATTCTTCCTTTCGCTAGTAGTGAGCACGTGGATGAAGGATGGAAGAATGTGAATGGAGCTATGCTAGTGTGGTTCAAGGCTGACTGTCCGAATATTTCGATGCGACCAACTGACCCCTGGATATCGCCGAGATCGCTAGTCATGTATGATGCCAGGAATCCATACCATCAGGCAACGAGCACACGGCGCACACAGATCCCTCAAACGTCAACGGTTGAAGAGCCTAAAGGAGGATCGAGAACTCTGGTGGACATCGGAGGCTCGGGAGATAGAGAAAGCTTTCGCTGCCAGAAACGGCCGTACCCTACATCAACTGAAACGATCGACTGGCCAGAGGAAAGCGGTGGTCAGTGATATGATAAGTGAGGCGAGCGGTTCGTATTTCACTCGAGAAAACGCCAACAGGAGAACTAGCCCGAACACTTCGATGAATATAATAGCTGGGCTCCTCTAACACAGCCTCTGCTTAGAGTGCATACAGGTGATGTAAACCAGGATCGGGTGATTTGTACCCAGCCTTCCTCGATGGACTTAGAAAGTCCATAGTGACCCATCTGACAAAACTCACTGATGCGAAGTGAAGAGAAAGTACTTGTATAATGGGGCACAGTCATAATAGAGACAGTCGTCCCTATTCTCGAAAAGGCACGCGGACACTGAGAATCGCATGGCACTAGCTTGGTAGTTGTGGCACCGATGATGCTCTCTGGTCCCATCCTTCGAAGGTTGACTGAACGCAGGGGAGCCAGATCCATGAAGACCAAACCTGGTCCCGTCCTCTGACAGATTCTGGAGCAACGACATTGTTTTCAACGCCCAACAATGGTTGTGTTCCTTGACTTTAAAGATGCCTTTGACTGTATGGGCCGTCAGGCACTGTGGCACTGTGTATGGGGCAAAGGCGCCGCCATATGTTCTTAACCATCCTTAAAGCGCTTTACGCCAGTCCCCTTGGACGTGTGAATGTCCACGGGGAGCTATCGCCCATGTTCACGATATCAAGTGGTGACAGGCAAGGCTATCATCTTTCGCCCTTCCTCTTTAACTCCGTCATTTACATGATTACGGAAAACTCAGCTTCTAATGTCTGTGGGGCTGAAATGCTCCCAGGGCGTTTGCTCATAGATATCGGGTACACAGATGACATAGCTCCGTCATAGCTCTGGCACCGTCGTAATGCAAATAAGATTAACTGGTCTAAATAATTCTGCCTTGTGGTTTTTCATGTGCTTCACAACTGCAGGTTGTAGATTGCTGCTGCAAGACTGGGTGGGTTCTTACTTTAATTTCATGCTTGCGGATTGGCCAATTGATGTAGTAGCCAAACTTGTCTACCTGGGCAGCTGTATCAGTCCAGGTGGTCTAACCGGAGATAATATTTCTATCCGGACCGTCACGAAGAGACTGGACCTTATCGTGGTGTGACGGTTTGCGTACCTCAGCGATCCATTGAGCTATACTGGAGTGTGTCCCGCGACACTCACAGAGTCTCTCATACCAGGTTGGTCAATGGTTAGAGGT